ATACTGTATATACATTGATGCTTGGTCCATAGTGGGGGAAAGTATGTGACTTACTCACGTAAGATAGTAAGTTAAATAGTTTCATAAAGTACGTCAATATTAAAAGACAAAGAAGTTTGAATAGTGGCTGAGAGTTACATCACTGTTCGGTCGTAGAATATCGCCTCACCTTTCTTCATTCGTTCTTCGCAGATAATGTCTGAGTTTATTTTCCCTTCGTAACTTCTTACTCACCTTAAGTATCGTATTTTAATCCTGTTTAAGCCCGTGAACCTCGTGTGATATTACCTTTGAGTAGTGTCGTCCAACCAAACGAGATTATTTTAGGTCTATCTAAACGAGTCATCTTAGTTAAACAAGTATTCAGAGCTTTATCTGACCCCCGGCTCATCGACAATCATCTGCCACGGATCAAGAACCTGAAATGAGGCCATATCGTGAGCCTGCCTCCCATAACCACTTTGCACACAGCAGTGTATCATCTTCAAAGACGTCTTCCAGTCCCACTGTGTGGGCATCTGAAGCCACAGAGGACCACCGCTTCCTAACGGGAATCACCACCCGTTGGAGAGCCTTGAGTCTACCTCAACTGGAGCAGAAACTAAACGGCTGAGCCCACTGCAAGTTCTTTTGGAACTACGCTGCACAAAGTAGGAAACTTACATCTTCTGATATGATCAAGATTTGGTGTCAGATAGCGCTCTGAATTATTAATATTTACATGTTAGAGTAGCGACGGTATATCTTATAGGACATCACATCCTTCCTTCACTATCCCAAATCACTCGCATTTGCGATTTGAAACAAAGTTTCTTTATTCATTTGTTAATCCATTTATTCTTTCATATGATTTTACTATAAATAAACCACACATTCATCGGCAAGTCGTTGTCTGTCATATTCTTTTAAAGCGGGAACTAAAGATCAATTAACTCATAACTTACTACTGAGATATTGAGACTGATTAATTGATTATCAACCTGTTGAAGTCCTTTTATTTATTTTGTGCCACAAAATGTAGTGCAAGATTGAATTTATAAGGTAGTCATAACCACAACAATTGCAATCCATCCAGTGGTTGTTGAAAGAGTTCACTCAGGATCACAAATGTCAACATCATGATGGCACTAGAAGAAAGGTCAGCTGATCATCAAAGTCATAAAGATGCATCATCTGTTTGTTTGTGCCCATCCATCCAGTAGATGTTGAGATATTTCACCGGTGGCACTAGACGAAATGTCAGGGGATCACCAAAGGATTCATCATCTGGGGACCATGAATGTCTGTAGTAGAAATTCAAAGATTCATCCAACTGCTAGCGTAGCTAAAAAGAGTAAAAATATAAACTCAATGCAAGAGGAAGTCTTAAAGTTGTTAAATCAGCTGAATAAAAGTGCAAGATATTCAAACACTGACATTTGATCAGAGTAGAATACACAGTAAATCGTATATATCCAGCTCCTCTATAACAACTTGGGGACCCAGAGCGAGACAACATGAAATACAACCCCTGCTGTTAGGGTTTGCGTCCCTGATACCCCAGGGCCTTGGACACAACAATTTGGATGACAGCCGCTATACACAAAACAGGAATTGATGCATTTATTTTCCACAGTCACAGTATGACAAAAGACTTATCCCCAGTCATCCATATTGTGCACATTATGTATGGGGGTGGACAGAATACACAAACCCTCCTCCCTTCCTTTGACATCCTCCTCTCCTCTGCAGCAGTCCCCCCCCCCCCCAATTCGAACCCCACTGATGAGCCACATCTGCAGCAGCAGGCGCTGGCAGCAAATCTGTGTTAAATTAGAGAGCAACATCCCCATCAAACAGTCCCGCAGCAGATTTACCCCAACTTTTACCCTCGAGGCCTCAGAGCTGCAGACCGACTTTTCCTCTCACTGCCTCTCTCTATCTGTTGTGTTTCCTTCTCTCCTTCATTAAAACAGGGAGTTCACATGCATTAGTAAATACATTTCCTTGGCCCGAAGCTTTTTAATGTTCCACTGGGCTAAGTACACAAGCCTCCCGGAAAATATGTGTTGAAAAGCTCATCTTTTTGACTTCACATCCATGCTGTGTATATGTAGAGCATGAAAGAAATAAACTATTCTAATTTAGAACTATTTTGTTGAAAGCAAAAAGTAGCCTTAACAGTCATATAACTCACGCAACCATATGTTGCTTTGAACTTGCAACTTGTTTCTCTTTGTATTTCTGGGCTCACACATCATCAAAGACCCCACATTTTTCGAAACTCAATTTGGTCAGTAAATAAATTTCGATTTTAGGGGCAAGGATGTAATAACAGAAGAGAGGCCCGCTCTTATCTTCTCCTAAACAAAAGCATACTTATTTAAAATCCATTTCTCTTTGGATTGTCTTTCCCACTTTTCTATCTCCATCTGGCGTTAAAGCTGTTACAAGCTACTGCAAACAACGATAACCCCCATCTTTGGAAGAGCTACTCGTCGCACTTTGTTTGAGAGGGACACTGAATGACGCACAAGTATAAACACACTCAATGAGGGAAATGTGGAAAAAGCTTGACGGCAAAGCTGCCAGTCTTTCATCCGTTCTCTAGTGCCTCTCCGTGCCCCTGCGGTTGTAATACAGCGATGTATTCAGTCCTATCCTCCACAAGTGGCCTCCTTAATGAAGTGCATTAGACCTGGATGTGTGTGTATGTCTTCAGAGAGTACAATGAGGAGTGCAGGGACGAGGTACAGGTAGAATGAGCACTGGTAGAAAGGAGGTCTGTGGAGTGTAATGTGTATATCAGGCTCTTTGAGAAAAAACAAAAACACCTCTAGACTGCTTGTCTCACATACAGAAATATTGCTTTGCCATCACACAACAGACAAGCTTCAGGCGGAGTACGAGAGGGCCGGGCGAGGGCAGGATAGCGGGATTGTGTGGATTTGTCGAAAGGGTTCGAAATGTGCGGCGCCACAGGGGAGCTTCGCAGAAATCCCAAATCATTAAGGCTGAATGAACGCTCATTGATTCATTGATGAAATGACTCTGAAGTAATAATGATTAGCATGACGATGAGGAATACCATGTGAGGAGCCAGACTGCCATTCAGCGACAGTTTGTGATGCATGCCGTTAGCTTTTCCGAGAAGCCGATGGAATGATAATAGTGTCGAGGAGGCCCTCAGTGGCTCTACGGCCCCATATCACGCTCAGTCATCTTCACACTCAGTAAAGTCAGCACATTTCTGCTGCCATTAAATTTACTACGGCTCATTGGGGATTGACACTGTACACCATCAGTGTCATTGTAATGCCTTGTGAAATTCAAGAAAGATTCACTTCTTTCTGCGAAGAACAATCATTACTAAATACTCTGTTTAAATGACTGGCATTACATGCTTGGAAGTCATGTATTATTCACCTCACCTCTCCGAGAAACTAATGATTTTTACCCAGACGTTTACACTTCATCGGGCAACGGGGATAATTGTTCCCCCTAATGGCAGTGTGATCAGTTTAGCTTCGCAGCCGTTATTCTATCTCATACACTTGACTTGCAGGTCTGAAGTTAGCGGGGCTTTATTTAGTGATGGCAGACATTGGTTGCGGTGATCCTATAACTAGCAACAAGACTTGCTTTACTCCCGTGCTCAGTGGTGTGAGCCCATTTGAAAATGCACAGCAAAGAGCTGCTCACTGAATCACACCGTAGGCGATGAGGGAGTGATGGGAAATTTTAATGAGGACTCTGTAAAACCGCATGCTTGCGGATTATTTGCCATGCATCGAGATGTTATTGGCGTTCTCAAGAAAATCAGCGCAATTGTTGTTATCAGCCCATGCTGAAGTCCTTTCAGAAACTTTGAAATTTTGAAAATGATCCAAATAATTGTAAGTTCTCTAATACACAGGCACCCAGTGAATACTAAGCACCATGCAGCGCAGCAGGAATGCTAAATATCTTCTTGCAGCAAAAACAGCAGTTCTTTTTTGTTACATTTTAAACCAACAAATCAACAAATGTTGATTAAATATTTAATGAATGTCTGCTTATTGTGATCTTCTGAGCAGTTGCTTTTTTTTTTCTTCGTGGTTTTCCGAGAATGTAAACACTGATTACTTTGTGGTCCTCTTTAAGCTTTAGTCAGTCAGTTATTAAATTAGAATTTAATGTCACACTTTCACTGTTTCATTTCAGAAGTTGCCGTTGCACAAATTCATCAACACCGAGGAGCTTTTGAGGGTTCATGTGGGTCCGATCATCTCGGTCTGTGACATTAGAGCCACTGAACTGCAGCAGGAGACAGGGTTGTTTTTCTCTGAGTCCTTTTGCTATTTCACAGTCGTACAGTGTGCTCAGACACGATGTCAGTTTCTTCACTGTTGTAGATCTTTTCCCTGTTTGTCATGGTATTATTATTCAGCTCTGCCTGTACCTTGCTAGATTTTGAAATGTGGTATAATGAGGACTGACAATCTGCTCAATGAACTGAGGAGAATTAACCAGAGATTTGGTGCATGTACCTGTATATCGACACATGCTGCACGTGATCGAATCTCTTTAAATGATTTAAAGCTGTGAGTTGTTTTTGCAAGGCTTTTGAAACAACAGTTTGTTTTTCAAGGCATCATAGAATTGGTAATCTCTCCCACTTGGTGGGGGAATTGCTTTACTTCTTGAAGGTCTTTCGGACTGCATTTGGCTCTTATATTTCCCAAAGCAATTATAGTCGGGGGGACTTCAGTTGTCTTCCGCTCTCCATGGTGGGCTGTGGGGAATGTTTTTTTGTTTGTTTTTTTTCCGGATTGCGCTGTGGAGTAAAATGTTTGCATGGACTGGCTGTAGTTATGGTCAGAGACACAGCGCACTCTGCTGGCGATGGAGAAAACACCACCGTCTCTGGTCTACTTGTGTCAAACCTTAAGCGTGAAAAACAACAAACACACATAGGCAGGTGTGTGTGTGTGTGTAGTAGTAGTAGGAGTGTGTAATCCTTACATTCCTCTCTGTTGCAGGTGTGTGTGAGTGCTCAGACTTCACCACTGGGATGACCTGTGAGCGCTGCCTGGATGGTTACTACGGCAGCGCTTTGATTGGCACGCCCGGTGATTGTCAGCCTTGCCCTTGCCCGGACCGAACCAGCTGTGCCGAAATTGCGAAGACAGGACAGGTGGTCTGTACCAACTGCCCTACAGGACAGACAGGTGAGATGAACCACCAACAAAAAATATTTTTTATTCTAGCACCACACAGTAAATAATGGGCTTCATGTCAAGAACAAAGCTATGAGAGCAGCTCCACCAGACAGCTTGATGATGAAAAGACTGTGGCTTTAAAGCAGCTTGTTTGCCGGACCTGTCATTCGACAATGCCACCTGTAATTCAGACATTTTTAACTTGAATTATGAAAGAGACATTTTTAACTTGAATTATGAAAGAGTCTGTGGTGACATGGGGATGCCCTCCAACAGTGTTCAAGCTCAGTCATCCATTTGAAATCCTCCTTTCACCTTTCCCCCCTGTATAGGGATGCGCTGTCAGATGTGTGAAGATGGCTACTACGGTGACCCCCTGGGACAATCTGGCCAAGCTCGACCATGTATGAGATGTGACTGCAATGGCAACGTGGACTTCAACGCTTTGAGAATATGTGACCACGTGACCGGGCGATGTCTGAAATGCCTGAGACACACAGAGGGCGACCAGTGCCAACGCTGCCAGCGGGGTTTTTACGGCGATGCCCTGAACCAGACAGCTGGCCAGAAGTGCAAGTGTGAGTAACGGGGAAAGAGAGAAATTGTATTTCTGCAGGACAATGTTAAAGTTGCCCTCCACTGACAATGTGCTTACTCTTACTTCCCATGGATGTTTGACCGTCACTGTGCAGAATGATGGATGTGCAGAGTCCGACACTAGCAGGCTGTTTTTACATTCACCTGCTGAGGGGGTGAAGTTTATCTGCTCTAACCTTAAACAAATACTTAGTTTTTCTCACATGCCTCCATCAAAAAACAGAGAAAGGTACGGGAAAGGTATGGGGGCCACGTCTAACAAAAACTAAATGATGACTATAAAAACTACATCAAAACATCTGTTTACAAAATCGGCCCCCACCTACTTTAATTCATCAAGACTTTTTTTCCGTTTTTTGATTAGTAGTTCACTGTGGAGGCATGCGAGAAAGTTTTCTTTAAGAATTCAAGGTAACAACGGGAAGAGTAATTGATATACAAATTTTATAAGTGAATTATTCCTTTAAATCTGAGTTAAAGACGTTTTCATGAAGCATAATTACGTGACATTACAGCTATGAAGTGGCATGGAAACTTAAAGACACCGGGACATTTTTTGCGTATTCATAGATAAAGATTTTACAGCGAGGGATAAGAAGTTGATGTAATTGAATAATATTCAACATGAACTTCTATCGAAAAAAATTATACCATGATATTGTTATTTAAAGCTGAGTATTTCCTTTTCTAAATCTTAAAAGATGTTTGGAGGAGATGTTAAGAAATTCTCGAGTCCTCTCTCAAGACTTGCATGACACTCCGATTGTTCCGGTCACCACATGATAGTTAGGGTCAAGTAATAGCCAAATAATTCCATTAAAGACTACATGGCCTGGGGTGTAGCTTTTAAAGAAATGCAGAAAATGGTGCATTCACATGGATCAGGAGTTCATATTCGGTATAGGAGACTCTCACTTCTCTCCTTGACATTATTCTGTACAGAAGTTTGACCCGAGGCGTACAGGTAGAACTGAGGTATAAAATAAATCAGAGGATGAACACATCACAGCTATTACTCTTTGGGCCTCTCTCTGTCTTTGTAGCTTTATTTCAGTGTTTCACTCAATTACACCTTTTTTTTTCTTTATAATTCTCCCCACCCCAGGATTCCCTTTATCTTCTCAGACATTTATTTACCCCAGTTGCAGCTTCTGCCCTTCACAACTCATGAGTAGTGCTGTCTGTCATTTTCTTCCATTTTTCCCTCAAGCACTCCGGAATGAAATCAATAAAAAGTTACCAACATTTTAGCAGTTAACAACGTAACATTTTCATTGTTTTATTTGTTTCTTCTAGCGTGCAGCTGCCATCCCAGCGGAACCTTTGGGCATGTAAATGAATGCCACCCTCAGACAGGAGATTGCCAGTGTCTCGGTCATGTGACCGGACGGGATTGCAGTTATTGTGAAGTTAACTTCTTCAACCTCCAACCAGGTGTAGGATGTGAGAGGTATTGAGATCACCTTTGAACAACTGGGTGTTTTTTTTTTTGTTAATAGACATAACAACTGAGTTTATAAACTGAGTCTATCATTAAGACATTTCCCTGCCTTCCTTAGGTGCAAGTGTAGTCCAATTGGCTCATCGTCCATCGCGTGTCATCCAATCACAGGGCAGTGTGTGTGTCGTGCCGGAGTGAAGGGGAGACTGTGTGATTCTTGCCGTGTGGGCTTCTTTGGATTCTCGTCACGAGGTTGCAGAGGTACAGGACTTCACTTCAGGCATCCCAACTGCACTATGTGCCATCCTCTAATCCTTTAATACAGATCACACAGGAAGACATTTCTAACTCTTCAAATGTTTTCCTCTGCTCCCCCATCTTTCCTTGTGGTCCTCTTTCCTCTGCCAGCCTGCAACTGTGACCCAATGGGCTCCATTTCAATGCAGTGTCACGGTAACGGTACTTGCCACTGCCGCCAGGGCTTCGTGGGTTATAAGTGTGACAAATGTGAGATGAACTACTTCCACAACAGGGCCACACACCAGTGTGAGGAATGCCCAGTTTGCTATGGCCTTGTAAAGACACAGGTGAGTTTATGGTTGTTTGTGATTGTTTTTATGTGGGTTTTTTGAGCACGGGCCAACACAAACAAGATGTGAACACAACATTGAAATATTAATAAACCATTTAAAGGTGCAAGACACAAGATTGGGAGCATTTTGATTGCCTCTAAGTGGCTCTCACGATGGCATCATAGCTAGCAGTGCTCACAGTGCTAACAGTACAAATTATGGCAAACGTGCTGACGGAGCCAACAGGGTAAACCTGAGGGGGAACCAAAAGGTTGGGTGGGTGCTACGTTTCCACGTCGATGCTGTCAGCTGATACGGCGTCATCAGCTGTTACCGCCGAGAGACGCTCACGTGCACGAACGTGTGCTAAAAGCACATGAAAAAAGGTAGGAAAAGCATAAATAACAACACACATATTCCACTATACTGACAAACTGTATATATATATATATATATATATATATATATATATATATACAATACACTATACTCCACTCTATCTTTACTCAGCAAATAGATGTTTGCTGCTTTAATAATGCTTTGAATGTCATATATTGCTCCTTTAAGTTGATATGGCCGAACTTGTTACTCAACACTTACTAATGTGTGTTTGCTGCACAAATGTATAGAACTGTTTTCCTCACTGTGGCTCTCACTATTGTATTATAAGCTGCAATTTGTTCCTGAAATAGCCCGGTCCCCCCTGCACATCTTGCCTTTGTAGACCCTCATGAAAGCCATATGGCTCCTTTGTATTTGTAGATTGCAAGTAAACAGTAGATGTGCAGTGAAACAGAAAGAGACATTTGCCCTAATGATCTCCTGGGCAGCTTCTTTCTGTCCCTTTAGATTTGTTGCAACCCACGTCTGTATGCTGAGGTGCTGCGTCACTGGATTTGCCTCGTGAAGTCAATCCAATTCCACCAACATGTTCTGTCTTTCCTCTGAACACATTCTTTTTCCAGCTAAAGGGGCTGTGTGTTCTCCCTGGACCGACTTGTCCCTGTGTGAATACCTACTGTGATTTCTACAGTATTAGCAATTCAGTGAACAACCCAAGCCTTGTCTGCTCTGAACACCTGCAATTACTCCTCAGTCTCCCCCGGCTCCCCTTCTCTGCCTCTCCCACCTTCTATCTCTTCTCACATTTTCATCTGGCTTTGCACACAGAAAGGAAAAGACTAACAAGATCGCAAAGAGAGGAAGGTTGGAAAAGACAGAAATATGTGATCGATGATCAAGAAGGCACCGGATAACAGCGAAATAAAGAATGGGAACTAGCTACATGGTACTTATTCAAAGACAGAGGAGCACAGTTATTTCTGCTACCAGAGCCGACACCTCTTAACCACACACATGTAAAAAAGATACAACATGCTGGTTTGAAAAAGAGATGTGTTCACAGCGAGATTACAGGCTCCTTTTATAGGTCCGGACTATTTAACTTCCAGTGTCAACAAATTGGTGCCAATCACAGCACCGTCATTCAATTTTCAGACCTGGACTTCCATTCTCTACGAAGTCTAATCCAGTTATCTTCTGAAGCGCTTTCTTTGGCCACATGCTATGCAGAGAACAGTGTGAGTGAACGTGGATATGAAAACCGTGTTCTATCCTTATCCTGTTGTTGCGTATTCATTTATTCATTTATTCATTGCTTTTGTTGAAATACTACATTGTAATGTCATGCTGTACCAAGAATCAAAGTCCTATCTCAATCCTTGTGTCTGAATATAGTACAGATGTGGATGGATATATATTTTTGTTGTAGTAGTTGTTTGTGTGTTGTTGTTTTTTGCTTTCTTTTGGTCTCGCAAAATCTGTATTCTCATTGACGCCGTCAGTGATAAATCTCTGTGCTATTACTGTACAGGCAGAGAAGATGAGGACTCGCCTGCAGGAGTTGGAGAAGCTGCTGGCTCACTTTGATTGCCGAGGTAGATTTGGAAAGCAGCACCACCTGCTGAAGTATCACATGGCCAGGCTTTATGAGCACGAGCACCAGAGGGAGGATGCTCTACCAAATGCTCTGGAGGATTTTCTGGCCTTCCAAGGTAACAGCAGCCAGAATGGCCATGATGATTCCACTTGGCCTGTCACTCCTTTTAATGTTTCCTGTGTGGTCACGCAAGAGACGCTCAGCAGCCTTTGCTTTGTGAAATGTGAAGCTCGCTTTATGTGCCTTTGTAAGTATTGTGTCACATTTTGGCTGTGAGATGATAATGTGCCATATCAGTACATACAGGACCAGCGAGCATGGCTAAGAAATTTGACATGAAACCGCCCACGACGTTCTGCAAAACAGGCTGTTGCGCTGTCCGTGTCGCCTCGTTGTGACACTGTTACAGATATAACAAAACAAAGCGATTAAATCAGAAAGAAGGCAACAATACAAACCTCTCCCAATTATGGAACACAATGCTGATATATCCTCATTATCTTTGGAGGGGAAAGGGCTTACAGGCTCAGCTGCACAGGCCAAATGGAGACAAATCATAACAATATAGAACAAGGCGCCGTGTGACCAACTTAATCCCTATTTATATGACAGGCGATGCATCTCTAATCCCTGGTTTATTATGATTATAGTTGCAATCACGATAATAGTTGTCTTACATCCCCCCCGCCCAACACCCACATACTTACACACACATACACACACATATAGTTACCAGGCCTTTATGACACTGGGTGGCCCAATAATGATTTAATGAGTATGTGGGAGCGACAGGCTCACTGTGCGGGCACACAGGAGCCAAACAAATCACACTGGGGCTCACACACACTTGTTATCTCTCATTTTATTTGACACAAAGTCAAAGAGACAAGCAAAGCATGTCACACAATGAAGCAACAAACACCCAGACATATTGTACTAATTGTACTCAGCTCCAGACTGGCTAAGCAGCCAGTAACACAAGAAATACCATTGAATACAAAGTGAGACTGTGACAAACGTGGACAGAATTCCCTGTGGTTTGGGGGGTTTTTTCTGACTACCAACAGGTAGACAGAAAGGATGAAAGTGTGAATTCACACAGAACATGAGCGATGTGTTAAAATACTGCGTTCTAGCTACAAAGAATTGGAGGAATGATGTTCTTGGTGAAATAATCCATGAAGGATTTAATGTGGTTATATTTTCTTTTTTCTCTTTGTTCTTTCAGAAGCTCGGGAGGCCTTCATAAAACAATTTTCCTTGCTGGAAGCTTCCGCAGGCACACTCTTAGCCCAGCTGCATGGCATTACTTCCACTTTGAACTGCAGCATCAGCATGACGGAGGAAGAGGGGAAGGAGAGGAGGAACGATGAAGGAAGCAGGAGTGTGTGTCAAACCTTCACTGAAACTATGTTCGCGGTCAGAGCGTCTCACAAACAGCTAAAGCAGGCAACACTGGACCTGGACAACATGGTAGGCGAATTAACCATATTGTTTCTTCAACATTGGGTTCATGGTCCACATAGTTAGAATGTATTCCAGGTATGTCATTGCAGAAAATGTTAGGAGCAGCTATAATGTAAGGGTTCACCCAGTCCACAAGCAGGCTGATATTGTTTGTAACACAATAGATTTGTTGTCCTTATTACTGGACACTGCAGTTTACTCCTTTTGATGGAGCTCCTCTGTGTAGATCACAGAGTTCCCCCAAGGCAAAACAATATTTCTTACCCACACCTCCACCACCCTCCTCCCTCCTCCATCTGCCTGGCAAATTCCCGCTTCCAAAGGAAAATCCAAAGACTGTTTGATGGACGCTAAAATTAACAACTTCTCACCATCTCACCAAGACGCTTTGCAGGAATCTATTATGGATACTGCTGCCATGTTATTCAGATTGTGGGAGATGAGAGAGAGAGAGAGCTTGTTTTGCCAGTGTTTAGCTCTCTATTTCAGATTGTGTGTCTGTGTGCGCGCAGGCACATTGTACCTCCGTAGCCCTTATCACTTGGGTAAGCCTGAAGCGGCAGCAATTTAATTCCATATTAATAAGCAGAGCAGCCATCCAAAATGAAGAAAGAATGCAAGTGTCAATTGGTGATTCGGTTTTCCCATTTTTATTTGCATTTTCTCAAATAAAATGTCACTCGGGGAAGAATTCAGCATTTGACTGGATACACATTACATTTATCAGGACAAAACTTGAGCGGATTTATTTTGAGGGAGGTTTTTTCCATAAACCCCTGCTTTGAACCTTTTAGAATACATATGCTTAAGAGGTTCATTAGATGAGTTTCACTATTTGCAGAATCAAAGCAATCCACAGGACACCATTTTTTAGCCTTGGCAGTCCAGAAAAGCATTTTAAATCGAGCCAAAGCTAATCTAATGAACCTCTACTCTTAATACAAATCTGTGCCCAGATTTACAGAACCGCTTTCACACAGATGCTACATTTTCTGAGCAAACAGCACAGCGTCTAAAGAAAAACTCTCCACTCAGCTGATGAAAAATGCCTTAAAGATTAGATTAAGACTCGAGTTCACATGATGAAAATCTACATGTCAAAACAGTCTGATGTCTCTTCAAGACCGGACCTTTCAGGGTTTTTTTTCATCTCTCAGGCCTGCTCAGCATCTTGCATTCCCTCTCTTCCTTTTTCATAGATCATTCCTTTTGAGGTGGTGTCAGAACCCAACAAATGGAACAATTTGGTCAATGACTCACAGGCCCTAATGAAAAGGTAAGACAAATCAATGGACCATTACAAGAAAAGACCACTGAAGTAATCTGTGGAACTTCGTCTCTCTTTGCTTCTACTTTTAGCGTGTCACTGACACTGGGGGTTAAGCCATTGTGAATCGATGCCCTTGGTCACTCAGAGTATGCAGCATTATTATGTGGTAGTTACACCAATCTAGACTGCAGGAAGAAGTCGTTGACACTGAAATCCATTTCATCTCTCCTCAGGCGGTTGTAATGCTCTGTTATTCTCTGTTACTCACTTCCTTTTTCTCCTCCTTTCACTTTGTCTTCCTTCCCCCCCATCCTTTGTAGTCACAGAGAAACAGCAGACCATATTGAGGCCATAGCCAGCAGGGCGGTAAGAGCCTCGGAGCAGACCTTCGGTTTCCTGATGGATCTACTGCAGGACAACTCCACAGAGGAGTACATCAGGAACCTAACGGAGCAGTGAGCACAATAAGGAATCCAAACACACGCCCACCCAGACGAGCACAAGAGAGAATGTCTCCCATTCACATAAAGCATCCTGTATTGAAAAATCCCAACAAGCTGCATGACTCCCTAGATTATTGTGCTTTCGCAGTATATTTCTAACAAAGTGCACCTATCCCTGTATAACAGCTCGAGGTCCTCTTCTTCACAGCAGCCTTTTAAAGCGCATTGGAGTTTAGGAGTAAGACATTTAGCCACAGGGGGACAGCTTCTCTCCACTGTAAGCCTATTGCTTTCTTGGATTTGCCGCACGCTCGCTGCATCTCCTAGCGTGTGATTGCTCTGAGGATTATCCTGAATGCCAGACAGAATGATGCAAAAGCCCTCCGGTGGCCATGATGAGAGCAAGAAGCGAGGAACTCAAAATTGATTACCCCCTTCTAACAGTAGTCAGCTCAGTTCAGGAGAGTTCTGTTAATCTCTGGAGCGCTGCTGTATGATAGTGTGTGTGTGTGTGTGTGTGTGTGTGTGTGTGTGTCAGTTTACAGGATGTGAATTGAGCAGTTTATGCACAGATGGGCAGCATGAAATTGTATTTCCTACACATACTGTATGTCCCCATGCGTTGGTACTTCAGCTCAGATCAGATATATTTTTTAGGCTGGACAGCTATCCAATCAGAGAAATGACAAAAATATCTAACCAGCCGCTAACAACAAGCATGTATTACTTACAAGCATGTATTACTTAACTTGATACAGTATTTCCACATTCTGCTACTTTATACGTGCATAGTCACATTTCAAAGAGAAATATTGTAATATTCACTCCCCTACATGTATTAAACATATATAATTACTATCTACTTGTGAAATTAAGTATTTACATAAAATGATTAGGTAGACTAGACTTAGACACTGGGCTGGCAACATCTGGACTAAGTTACCTAACTGTATTAAAGTAGTTAAAACTAGCTCCACCTTGACCAGCTACAACAGTACAATAGTACTAATGCATCAGTCTCAACAATACTATGTAGTATAAGATAAAAATATATTAGTGACAGGGGCCATTTCTCTTCAGAATGAGTGTTTTTATACTTGTTATACTTAAAAAGTATTAATGTAATACTTCTTTTACTTGCAATGGAGTATTTTTACATTGTTGTATTGATACTTTTACTTTACCAGACCTTTGCCATATGGGTTGTTTTGAAAGGCATCTTCCAGCATTTCAGTGTTCTACCAAACATATTATTTATTATACTATATTGATCCCTTTAAGGGGGAAATTTGTCTCTGCATTTGACCCATCCCTGTATATAGGGAGCAGTGGGCTGCCAATGACAGGCGCCCGGGGAGCCGGGGGTTCAGTGTATTGCTGAGGTACACTTCGACACGTGACACGTCCCAGTCGAGGATATTAAATTAAAATATTGTATAAATGAATAATTTTAACTACCCAAGAGAAGGGCGTGTGCTTGTTGCTGAACACATTTGAAAAAAAGTGAAAGTGTCACACTGTGAATCCATGTGTTTCTGCTCTGTTGAGGCAAAATAGATTGGATATCATTACAGCTGTGGAGGTGATAAAAATGGCACTTTAACATCTACTGCTCTGTGCCTTTCGTGAATTCATCATGCTTTCTTTGTAAAATGCTGCCTTCCCTTTTAATCCTCTTTACTTAGATATAACAAGCTGCCTTGTCTTGTTCCCACATGTATATTGATTTAAACAGCATGATGTTTTTTAGGTTTCTCTTACCAACGCTTACCAACGCTGAAATTGAATATACTGAATCATGTGCAAAATATGTGATGCTCTAATGAGTCTGCAGCATTTACAGTTATAAATCAAGTGAACAGAAAACATCCTGATGTTTGATAGTGTCCATTACAGTACACTACATTTTACAGCGTTTTCTCTGCTGTCTTTTTCTCCGTCTTATATCTCAGAATAACACAAATGCAGCAGCAGAAGGAGAACCTGACGGCACAGGTGAATGAAACTGCGGCCAAACAGCTGGCCCTGGAGGAGGAAGCTGCTGGTTTAGAGCTTGCCCTGGGTAACATCACATCATCCTTACATCAGTTGGCTCCGACAGATGCCAGCCCATCACCGGAGCCTCACCAAACGCAGCTCAACCAAACACGTCCAACCAACCGTACAACAGAGGTCAGTTTGGACAGCACCTGCAGAGTACAAATGGAATTTGAAGCATTATTATGTTACATTATAGACCCATGAGTGGATCATTTAGTCTAATTAAAGTTTGATAGCGGCACATATTATATAAGAAACACATCTGGGACATGTAACTAGGGTAATATACTGATACACGTATTTAATTTTTTGAAGAGTGGGCAGTTACCTCCACATCATTTTTTTTTTTCTTTCTTCCTTTTACATTTGGCAAGCAGAGAGGGACACTGAGTAGGCACAGGAGAGAGGATCCTGGCAGGATTTGTTGCTCATGGGGGTACATGTTGTTCCAGAGGAGGGTGATTAACCACCGCAGCCTCTCTGAGCAGACAAAAAATTGAAAAAGGGCACAGAAATAGGCCAATTTGCCCTCTGAAAATGACTGATTAAAGGCAGAATGTTTTGTCAAAACTGATAGAGAAAGCGAAATGGGATTTGTTTAATAAAAGCATTAAAGTTGTGTATTGTTTGCTTCCTGTTTAGTGGGGTGAGGACCTGCTAAAACAAAATGAAGAGCTGGACAAACAAATTCAGACCCAAGACAATCTCATCAGTAGGATCAGAGAGGAGATGGAGCCTCTAAAACAGACCGCCAGTAAGAAACTGGAACTGCTGGATGACAATAGTGAGGTGAGTAAATATACCGCACATGTGACTTCATGTCTTTATACTTTGAATGTATATTGAATTTTAATTTGTAATGCTCAGTGTGAAGTTTATTAGCCATGCTAGCAGCTCTGTGAACAGCTCTGTTCGTCCAGACTGAAATATCTCAACAACTATCAGACGGATTGCCACGGCATTTTCTACAGATATTCAAGGTTCCCAGAGGATGAATTTAAGTACCCCCGTGAGATTCACTTTTGTGGTTGAAAATGAAAATTTAATTTACAACATTTTAATTGAATCATAAATCCCATTTAACATCTGGTCAACTCCTGGGAGGATTTCCGTCATACTTGTTGCAGACGTTCATGTCCCCCTCGGGACGAATTGTAATGACTATCCATTTTGCTCCGTCATCAAATGATAACCAAATACCTGCAAAACTTTTTCATCAGCCTCTTTGCTAATTAGCAAATGTTTGCATGGTTACTCAGGGTGACCCTGAATAGTCGACTACTCGATCTACGGAGCCTGATTTGACGACCAATCTCGCAATCGAATCTCCTCGTGGCGGAAAAATGTGGTTATGAAACAAAGGATTATTCCATTCAGGCTATATGGGGGTAATGAATGTCTGATTTTACAAGGAATTGCTTGGTTTCTTCCAATAAATGTGGTATAAATATCAGCCTATCAATAATACTGTTAATCAGAATTTGAAAACAACTCATGTGCTTTCAATCAATCTCCTTAGAGTGTGTAAATAAATCCCCATGTAGACTAAGTTGCACTATCCAAATAACAACAACATATGGCTACTGTTACAAAATCAAAGAATACATTCATATTTCAAACCACTCGCACGAGAACGTAACACTATCAGAGAGCTAGATATGTTTTGAATTTATGAAGGATTCTCTTCAATCAGCAGGGGGAGGCACGTAGAACAATTTGTTGCCGCTTGCGTCTCCCTCTCCCAGTTTTTCTTCTCTCTGTGGATTGCTGCAATGGTGGGAAAATGGAATTAGGGCCAAAAGTCCAATCTACTACCACAAAAACAAGCAAGCAGGCTAAGAAACCGTGTCTGTCGCTCTGTTTCAGCACTTTGGAAAGCGCCACATCTACACACAAACACAACACAAACCGCGCGGTCTATTATCTGAAACAACAGCTCAGTGATTGCCACATGTATCTCGCCCGTACATTTTTGGGGTTTTATTAATTTTCTTTCAAATCAATGAGCAAAAAAAGAAAGCTTGCTGACATTCGCATTTATGACATCACAGAGCTGCTAGCATGGCTGTAGACTTGTACAGTATTGCTTAGACACTAATGCTGTCGTCTCCTCAGTTCGCCTTGATATCAGCTTTGAATACACTTTAGCTGAGGTCATGTTTCCTCTTACGTGTCTTTCTTTCAAGCTGCAAGCTCACGTTCGAGGGGCAAAGCTCACGGCGTTGTCGTCCGTGGTGACAGGGAAAGGGGTGGAATCCGACGCCATCGCCCTGCACAGAGAAGTAGAATGTGAGTCTCTTCCTCACGTCTTTCTATCTATCTGGCTTGTTTCTCTTTTTCACTCTCTTCGCTGTCTGTCTTGCAATGTTTGTTTTTGTTGAACGTCCAACTGAATTATTCCACTCAAATTGAAATGTCAAGTGCAGAGTCTGAAAACAAATACAAGAGCAACAGACTGAACTCTTAGGATAATAAACATGTCATCACCATTGTAACATTTTGACCTAATTGTCACGTATTGAAAGCAGCAGCGTCAAATGCAATGAAGTGTTGGCGGGTTGGAGGTTTATGATACGTGAAGAGAATCTTAAGAGATTTTGTCTCCTCAGACTTGCGTTGAAATAGTAAAGTAGCACAGAATAAGGATGAATGAAGAAAATCTAATTCAGTAGACAATAATCTACTTGAATCCACTGTTTGATTAATCAAAAGTAAGCTGAAGCTTTTACGATGAATCATCTGGTCCTACATGAACACAAATATTTCTCACAGTTTGACCATGTTGGGTTACTGCACATGCGATAAATCTGTATTTGTGATGTTGTCTGATCTCTTCTCACTGTTTCAAGTTGGTGGGCCTGAGTTGGAAATATGTGATGCCCCATACATCAATGCACCAATCAGGATTTATTAATTTGACGCTCTGGATGTCTTTTTCCTAACTTTAATTTAGTTTATTTATTCATGATTATTTTATTTAATAGAAGATTCAAGACAACGTTCTCAGGGCTTTAATCCTACTGCCGGCCTTCTTCCCGATCTCCACTCAGACATGGTGAGGGAGTGGCCCCGTCGGCAGGCCCAGACCAAGGCTGCAATGAAGAAGGAAAAACCCCTGGAGGAAAAGGTTCTAGCTGATGTCAGGAAAAAGGTCTCACAAATCAAGAAGATGCTAAAACCAGCGCTGGAAAACTCCAGCCTCTCCAGCAACACCACAATGGAGGCGGAACAGACAGCCCATGCTGTGGCAAAGGTATGTGTGCTGTTTTTTTTGTTTAATCTAGTGTCATAATAGGGATCAAATTTGGAATTTATCCAATTGGTGGTTTGATACCTGGCTCCTCCTGTCCACATGTTGAAGTGTCCTTTGGGCATATCGGATGGGATAAAAGCATCATATCTGCAGTTGTACCAGCATTGTCATTATGAGCATATTTGCACGCTGATGTGCCCAAACACATCCTCACAGAGCCACTTGCATGGCTGTAAACTTTAGCGTCCCATTTTACACCCGGCGCAAAGCGAAGCACAGCGCAACTGTCATTGCTAGTTTCAGAACGACGAAGTTGTGTGTCGTGATGAGTGCACAAGTGATATTTTCATGCCTTGTGTGGACAGTGCACACACGCCTCCGTCTGCGCTCAGCGTTTCGTCATCTTTCTGTGTTTGCGAGTGTAGACGTAGGCTACTTCAAAGTTTGAGCCTTATATCTCCGCTCATTACAAACCATCTCTCCCTCGGAGCCCCGCTGCAAGCCCGAGTGTAATGCAGCCTCTATATTCAGCACCTTCTATCAATGGGACAAACAGCAGACGGAGTGCCCTTTAAATCTGTAAACACAATATGAAACGCATTGAAGACAATTCGAGGGCTGTACCGAATCGTTGGAAGCTTCATAGCTTTATTCATAACGTTTTTATTCAAATTTGAAAACTGCACATCTTTTTTCTTTTGCATGCCTATTCATTCTGCTTGAATACAGCATTTCTGCACGTTTGCAGAGAAAGATCAGGCAACACTGATATTAATAGTATAATGCTATTTGTAGAATTAAATGCCAGTGGCGGCTGCATAGGATTCGAGTCGTGTGATCCAAACATGTCCAATAACTCCAGAGCTGAGTGATACATGTAATCATTTCCAAAATTCACAACATGTTTTTATCTGACAAAATATTCTGCTTCAATCTATATTTGTTGGCGTTCTACCTTTTCCAATTTGCTGGATCTGCCATTTAGATAGCAACGTGCCAGGTGCAGGCATGTTGAGTTGGACACGCCCTAAATGCACTCGCACCATTCTCTTTAGACCGTGTGCTATAGTTTAAATATGGTCCTTAGTCTTGCTCTGTAACTAATCAAAACATCTTCAATATTCGGGTATTGTTTGTCTTTCCTTAGTTCTATTTGTCCTCTCTCTTTGTGTGCAGGAATCCAAAGCCATTCTGACCCAGGCCAGGCATACCAGGACTGCATCTGCTCACCTTAGCTCCCATATAGACGCCGCTTTACAACAGCTGACTGAGCAGGAGATGCTAGCTGACAGAGTCAACTCCCAGATCATCTTAGAGGTACCTAACACAGACATATATACATTCAAACAGCAGAGTCTATGCTTACTGATCTGTTCTTCCTGTGTGCACCTCATTTCCAGCCTGACGTGTCCCTGAATAGTGTTATGGAAGACATGGAAGCTGCCAAGCTCCAGTTAAAGGCCTATTCTGTTACACTAACCGAGCTAATCAGCAAGATTGGTAAGTCACTCCCTTATAGATCATCTTCACTGCTGGCACCTTTTTAGTCTTCCATATCTATAAAACTCGTTAATCATCATTATATCTTAAATGTCAAATCACTAAAGAGCTCTTTGCATTTTAATGCCTCATTTAACATGGAAATATTTCCCAGATTGGTATCCCCATGGTAAAGTAAGAGTAACTGCCGTTCATGTTTTCCAGCAGCATTTTCCCTGTGGGTAAATATCAGTGTGTAAGAATCATTCAGTGGCGTCTTTCTGACGTAATATTATCTGACCTATTCATTCAAACACATTTCTTGTATCATGTTTTGTACAATTAGTTGAACTAAGTATAATGACAGGGACCTTTCACTCCGTGGTGCTTATGTTAACATGATTGAGAGGATAATGACCAAATCACTGTAATTAGGTCATCATGGCTGATTCCCCCCCCGTCCCCCCACTTGAATCACTAATGTAGGACCAACGCTTACAAACCACCATCGAGCAAAATTTCTGACGCCTCCATCTGTGGTTGCCTCTTTCTCCAACTGTCCTCTCTCTTGCACGTCCCGAACAGATGGGAACGTGCCGCTGGAGCGCTTTGACCGGATCTTGGATGAGACAGCACGCCGCCTGAGCATGCTTCGCGGGAGTGTTGAGAGCCCGACGCTGGGCTCGAAGATCCAGAAGCTGCAATTGGCCGCTAAGGAACAGCACAGCAGGATGTCCTTCATTGAACAGGACTTACAGGAGATCAGGGAGGAGAGAGACAGTCTCAGGGACATCACTTTAAACCTGCCTCAGTCATGCCCCCAGGCCACAGGTGCAGGTAAAGGCTAGATACTGTAGATGACAAGCATTGGGTCATGATAAAACAGCTGAACATCATAGAAGTCTGAGGATTTTGTTAATAAAAAGGGGCTGGGCCGTTTTTTTATTATTATTCTGCTTCAAAAAGGTCAGTTATATCCTTAAATTCTTTTCTTTTTCCATCTGTTGCCCCAGGGTACGTTTTATTTTACCACGGATTTTGTTAATAAAAGGGTCTACGGTCGTTTTTTATTATTCTGCTTCAAAAAAGTCCGTTTTATCATTAAATTCTTCCCTTTTTCATGCTTTTGGCCCCAAGATACATTTTATTTTACCACCTTGATACACACACACACACACACACTCCCACCAGAAGACGTGGATTCTCCACTGTCTCCTATGATTTACACCTAATCTTTTTTCCCTTCATTTCTTTTTCCCACTCAACAACATCAAAACTTTAATTTCATCGTGAATAATAAGCAGCCGTTCTGAACTGCTGGAGTGCCCTGTCAAGTTTAAAATAATGCTGATTTTCCTTTGTGGGGGTAAGAGGTGAGTCTGAGTGCTCCTTCAGACTGACACATTCATTTACACTTGAGCTCTCTTTCATCAGCCTGGCTTAATTAACAATTAGTCCCCTTGGCCTCAGTGGGGTTCAGGTCAGGCTTCAAGAGCACACAACCTGTGTTTGGGATTCTCACAGTGCCTACCTCTCTGTTTTTGTGGTTACTATCAAATGGTCAATATTCCTTGATTTGGGGTCACGGTCTTGGTCACACTTTCTGACTTCTGATGACCAAAATGTGAAAGCTAATTACCTTTGTATTGTGAAAATGACTCATGGAGTGATGGTTTACCAAAATACACTTTTTTCCTGTTTTTAATCATGTTGAATAACTGATCAGGAATCAGATTCAGACAAATGGTCTCATCCAACCAGTTCCAGTTAGACACGTATAGTAATTGTTTTGAGTATGTAAGGCCGTCACATAGAAACCATTACAAAATAAAGTATACTTAAAAGGGCCATTTTGCATATTAAAATGTCTCAATTTTTGTACAACAATGGAAATAAAGGAGCTGCTCACAGCTGATTAAAAGCTTACATTCGTAGATGATAGTTCAAGGAACTCTCAAAAAAAAAGATAATAATAAATTAAATATTCAGCCCTTAGAAAATATTCTTGCTGTTTGTGATATTTCAAAAATGTAATGTGGCAGACTTCCAGAAGGACATCAGAGTTTGATTAACATCTATTAACTCACATCTTGTTTAATTTCCTTTTAGTACCAAACGGTTAATTACATTTGTCTCTTCTGCAGTAGAATAGTGCACAGTGTCAACCTTTGTACATAAATGAGCATGTAGTTGTTTGGAAGATTTAGGAAATACGCATATTTGCTTCTTTTCTTTTCTCCATGAGTTGAATAAGAAGATCCTTACCACTCTCATGTCTGTACGCTAAACGTGAAGCTACACCTTTTTGACTTTTTGCCAGCACCTCGAAAGCTCACTAATCAACATGTTGCATCCCATTTGCTTAATCTGTAAAAGACAGAAAGTGTAAAAACCACAACTCTCCAGTGACACACCATTTTTTGTTTCGTGTTATATCTCCTTAAACAAGATATAGGATGTTAATTAGACCCTCTTACTCATAGATTGTGGAGGTTTATTCTAATTAAATACTGTACAACATTTGTAGTCAGTGTTTAGCTTTTTGAAACACCAGAAATGAAATGTGCACAGCCGGTACTGTTTTCTTTTCTATGACACATCTAAGGGCGATGCGCCGTATGTTGTACAAGGTCAGTGAACAGCAGTGTCTCTGCACATTCACGGAAATTCATCATGAATGCAGCTCTGAATGTTAAGAAGTAAAAGTAGTAATTTTCAGTCCGTTTAGCGGCAAAGTAGAGACGAGTGTCATTGCCATATGAAAATGAAATCCAAATCAAGACTGGCGAGAGGTAAGGAAATGGAAAATGGCAAAGTTCTTAAAACCATTGCTTTATTGAAATATTCATGCTTCGTAGTCGTACTGTAGTAAATACTGAAACTGTTTTTTTCTGATGGGTTCCAAAAGCACAGACGATGTGCGTGTATTGATTCATATAGTTGACATTGTCTCGATTTTTGGTAATTTCGTGTCCAACTGAGTGGCTGCATCACCTGCTGGACTGCCGTTGAGCTTCGGTTTCAGATTTTAGAGTCAGTAAGTAGTCGGCAACAATATCGGCGAAGGTCATTTTGGCTCCACATATTTTAAATTTGTAGAAATTGCGCAGAAAGCCTTTTTTAACGACAACCATTACAGCTGTATTGCTGTGGCACAGGTAAAAGCAAATGTCTTTAAACTTGAATGATTAGTTAGACAATAAAGAGTTATACTGGAAAAGAAAGACGGTTGTGTCTCCCAAGCTACATTGTATTACCTCACACATCTCAGATCTGTTACTTGGAGTTCTCATTAAAGGAGAAGAAAAAGTTTGCTGCTGAACAGTTCAAGAAGAGAAATGAGTGCATCAGAAGAACTCTCATCACTTACTATGATCCCACCTATTTCAACACTTACAGAATACAGTAACAACAGTCTTCCAGCCTGTAATGTGGTTCTATCAGTGTTGCTTTCTGCTAACTTTCAAACCGCATCTTCGTCTTTCATTCTTTGATGAACTCGTCTCCGTCATTCTACTGGAAACACAAGCAGTTGTATTGCAGTCAGTCAGTCAGTTGTATTGCAGTCAGTGCTGAAGATGGGGAAATTCTAAAAAGCATGGCACCAACAGCAAATGTAAAGGATTTTAAAGACAATAACTGTGTTTTGGACAACAAAGCTGTGTTAAAATGACAGACGTTAAAGAAATTTAAAATGTGCAGCTCCTTGCTAAATCACTGTACCTTTACATAAACCTAAGGGCTTCTTGTCTTTGGGATATCTTGGGGGCTGTCAATGTAAAGGTAAGAATGAAACACAGACAGTATACATGGATAAATATACTGTTTGATTGAACGAACAGTATTTTAAGACATTGCAGTAAAAATGTATTCAGGAAGATCCTAATCAATAACATCTCTTCAATCAATCCCTGTGGAACACCCCCACCCATAACATTTCGACTGTCAAAGTTTTCTATTTGCACAAATATGAACTCTGGTTTTGCCAAAAAAAAGTTTCTCCCACAGAGAAAACCCATGTCCATAAAAGGGAATCAACACGAGCAGAGAAGTAAGAGTTGGTTGAGTGATATTAAGCCGAGAGCCAAACAGAAACTGGCAGTGAACCATAGATGCTATTTGGCTATCCTGGTGTGTGTGGGAGGGGGGGGGGGTTAATTACCAACCGCTCCTTGACATCTATAGGATACATCAACCTTCACATTTCTCCCCTCGTTTCTCAACATGAACGCTGGCAGTCAGACAGTATGTTGGATCTCTTTCACACAGCTTACCATGTGCTGAGGATAGATTGCTAGAATGAACAAAATCTTATACCTTCCCCAGGAAAAAACATGTCTATGTCAATTTAGCTGTTTTAAAACCAACAGGAAACTGGTAATGCCACAAAAAAATAGCACAGAAGCCAGATACCTGACATGGTCTGAGCAGGCAACAACAAGTGCAAATCCTCGACATCAAAGATAGTCGCTGACACGCCCCCTACTGCGCCTCTCGCCCCACCTCACAGCTAGTCATCACATGAGTTAAGGAGAGGAAACTAAATATGTGTGTAACCCTAAAATATCTTTTCCACCCAAAACCATGACATGTCCCACGTCAGAAAAAAAAACTGAGCCGCTGTCTTCCTCATCCCTGTTATTTTCTTTGGTATCGAGCAATAACACAGTGGCTGTGAGTGTGAGCATGCTGTAAGTACGGACTATAGATTAAACAGGCTCAGAACAAGAGGAAAACGAAATGTCAGATGAGTCTTGAATATAAGTCCACATAACTGCAGAGGGATTTGTGCTGTGACTCACCTCTTCAAATCATGTAAACATATGCAAATAAATGCTTTTCCGTTGCCATCAATGCATTGTTATTTGTATATAAAAACAGAAATGTATTTTAAACCCTGTCTCGGGCATATTTCTCCTCCTTGCAGCTCGTTATCTGCCCCACAAGATAGTATTATATTCAAAACATTGAAAATAATACATTTTGCTTAATTTTACTGCAGAGCGTCTTGTACTCAAAACATGCTGCAGTAAATTCCTCACGTTTAAAGTTCTGCACAAAAGCTGTTCCAAAATGTTCATATATGTGTGCTAATGAAACCAAAGCAAATTGACACAGAATTACAAAAATCGTGAATATTGGTCCTTTAAATATAATAATTCTGTGTATTGGAGTGGTTCCACTAATGATAGTGTGTAATGGAGGAGTCAGACTGTGGCGCGACAGGACTGAAAACAGATCATCTTCTCGCATTGCAATGCGTGGAATCATTCAAGTTGAAACTATAAAGAAAAGGGCTTTGCATGATGAAATCATTGTAACCTCATTTACAATCACACCTTGTGCCGAAAATCCTGTTGCATTTCCCACTGATGATGAACACACTGTGAGTCCTGTTGGGAAATGTTAAGCTTTAACGGAGCTCAAATGAACTATGAAAGCTAGTGTGCGTGTGTGTGTGTGTGTGTGTGTGTGTGTGTCTTCAATGGAGAGTGATAATGTTAATAAATAATTGGCAGATGATAGTGAAATATTAATATCAAACACAAAATCATATGGCACCAAAATGATGCAACAGGTATATTTAAAAAACAGAAGCCACACAGAGATGATTGATAGGAAAGCTGACCAATATTTTGTGAATGTAAAGATTATTTGGGGGCAGTGCAACAAGCTGTAAACACAACACTGACATACTATTTAACTCTGTTTTGGTCGCCACTAACTCCTGAGGGAAATATCTGTCTCTTTAGCTGCTCTTAGCTGCTCTTTTATCAGAGCAGAAAACATCTGCCTGCTACATCTAGAAACATTCAGAGCATTGAGACTCAACCAAAACTGTACTTGTGCGCATGTTTTTGTGTTATTCTTGGCTGGAGCTCATTTTGAAAAAATATATGCATTCAAATATTGTTTTAAAAAAAAAATGGCTCAGGTTGACTGACGTGTTATACCCTCTAGTACAGGCAGGTAGATGATAAAGCAAAGCTCTACACACTCTCCTTGCTGTTCAGGTCTGTATTACAGATTTATCACTGCTCTTTGTCTCTTATCACATATTTTCTCATTTATTTTTTACAGTTTAAATGAAATTTTTAGCTCTGCGTGGTCTACTAAATGTAATGGAAATGGAAAAGTTTTTTATGGTAAAGCAGTCATGCAAATATAATTGTACTTGAGAGATTCACTTGCGAGATAGTGATTTGAAGTTTGGGAAATCTCAGAGGTGGAACAGCTTTTTTTAGTCATGGTTCAGCCCGCTCTGTTGGAGTTTAAATGTGTCCTAGAAACACAAGCACCTGCTGGGGAGAGATGAGGCATAGTTGTAGGCTAATTACAACATTCGTCATATGTGTGTTTACGTGGATAAGGAACGCACGTTTAACAGGTCACCCTCCCTGTGGTGAGGATTGATTGTGATTGACAATTGGAAACAGGTGTGCGACTTTATTTTATTCCTTCTTTATGTGAGCGACTGTCAGATAATGAAGGAAAACCGTTCCGTGTCAGATGATATTCTGTTAAGGTCTGTGCTCTTGGATAAATGATATGTGTGTGCTAAATTCTGACGTCATCAGTAACTGATTTGTGGTTTTGTACATTCTGTGAAAGCGTGCAGCTGTTTAGGTCCCCCCATGTTTACCTGGGCAGATGGTACAACCCAGTTTAGGTGTGGCTGTTAAGGTGAAATGCGAGTCACTGGTTTGTAATTCAGGAGAAAGAGGAATGCTTGAAGGTGTGTGATTTCTTTTTACTTCACTTATAAGTTGTTTTTGTTTCACCTCCCGGGGTTTGTTTTAGGCATTTGGTTCTTTTTCATTTAGAATTTCATAAAACTGGGGATTCTGCCTACAGTTGTTGTTTTTTCATCATCCCTCCCTATGTTTTCTGTTACCACATAACAACCTGCCAGCTTTTATTTGGGGTGTCAGTGCTACAAAATTAAGAATAGCTGTATAATCTCTCCCTGAATTCTGACAACATGCAATATTTGGTAAAATATGTCTGTGAATAATTACATAAACATGGAAAGAAGTAGGAACCTTTCAAACTAAAAATCAAATAAGTCAAATGTTTTTCTTCAAGTGTTATCTAGCCATGCAGATTGTGTTGGTTGTGACTAAACAAGGACAATGAAAGGAACAACATTTTCCAATGATCGAAAAATGGAAAAACACTATTTGAAGAAGTAGGGGACTGTAAAAGGATGATGTGATTTACTGTATCTACCAAGCTCAGTGCATTTTTCTGGGGTTGAAAGGCTTAGAAAACCATCCCAAGGACAGGTGTGTAATGCAAAATATGATGGAGGAGCTTTCAGTTTTTAGTCCCCATATATATCCAGTATGCCTTGCAAATTGTCAATGATAGAGTCAGGTCATAAACAACAATACACTTTGGAAGGTCTGTTGAGAGCGTAAGAAACCTGAGAGAGTCGGAGGGAATGAAACCTGAAGCCAAGTTGTTTTTCTCCTCGACAGGTAAGTGCAGTTTACGTTATCTAGCGTTTATTAGCTGGACTATTGCTGTCAGGGGAACTTGTATAGCCTCAATAACTCCACTTCTCAAAAAAAAAACCCAGTGCCGAGCTGTGAAGGTTTGAGCCTGACGAAGACAAAAGCCCAACTGGTTCGTTATGTGTGTTACTCAACTAATAAATGTTTTTGTGCTTCTTTGTGATTGAGGACTTTTTGTGTGTTGTCTTCTTTATTTCGTGCTGCAAACATGTCATTCAATAATGGGAACAAATAGAAATCCTCTTTCATCAGTTCTTGTAACCATGAGACTGCAAAGAACTTTAGTCGTTTGAATTTTTTTTTTTTTTATGTTATTCAGTGTGGAGAAGTATAGATTTTTCTCAACATATTAAAGGGACAGGTACCACTAGGAAAGGAGATATTTATTGTAATGTGACCATTTACAAGGTCTACTACAAGCCTCTTGTACAGTGCAAACCCCTACAAATGTGGAAACTGAATTGTTTGTATTTCACTATATAGTTGAAATAAAGTACCAGAATGAAAAGCTTTGACATGGCCTTTCTCTCATCTACTCTGCTGTGTCCAAACATGCCACTCTCTCCAGCTGCTTGGGCACGCCAGGCAAATAAAGAAAAGATGCCCATGAGATGAATCAAAAGTCTAATACCCACTTCAAACACCCCACTAATCCCTACATGCACTCAACCTTCACAGAATCCAAGTATACCGCTGACACTTGGACACTGACATCACCCACTCAGCTTTGCGGAGCAGACTTAACAACTGGGGAGTAGCAAGAGACTGGAGAGGTGGGAGATTATTCACCAAGGGAAAAAAAAAGAGACAAGGCACTGCATCTGTCTGCGCTTTTGCCCGGCATATGTTCTTCTCCACAGATACAAGTGCTTCATAAAAAAACAGTCTCTTGTCCAATCAGGTGGTGTTGTTGCCTGCTGACGTCAACTACTGAACATGGTCTACAAAGGATCCATCCTCGCCCCATCGCCTGCTTGGAGGTCTGTATAGAATACACAATCACATGGGAGATGACGCATGCCTGTAATTGTCAAATCAAAACCGCAGTTTTATGCTGAATAAAATGTTTTTATTTTACACGATTTGTGAGCCCAAGATCTACGAATCCATCAAAATGTTGAGGCAAATGATGTCACCACAGAGCTCGTAGAGGGCTGCAGGGATGACGTATTTTTGTAGGCCAGCCCCGGAAGTTTACTGATAAATGAGGAATGATAAACTGAAACAATGGGTTCATGGTTTCAGACAAAAGCAGCTTATTCTCATTTTCAAGCCATCAACCATCATTTGTTACTAAATTATGCTAACGTTAGCTCCATGATGTATCCGGCTGACTTTTTTAATGTTTTCAGCTTAATCGTTCTAAGACAGTAAAGCTTAAAATCAAGTCCTTAAATATGCACTTTATATACATTTAAAAAGTCTGAGGTTTAAGGTTAAAGAAAAAGAGAAGTAAACATCCTCACTGGTGGATGATCTGCGCAGAAGATATGTATCCTAAATTAAGAAGAAGTAGAGCATTGCTTGTTAGACCGAAGCCTTGCATTGATTTGGCAAATACGATTAGACTGTTATTTCATCCTAAGTGGGGCTGGCTGCTCAGCTTACACAGCCTGTTGTTTGTAATTTTAAACAGCAGGATTATGTTTTCACTTTTTACATTACACAGAAATAGTTGTTAACAGGGAAGTACACTGTATCCCCACTAAGTAAAGCAGTTAGTCGATTGCCTTGGAGGCTGCGCTTGGTTACTAGTTCTGGTAATAAGTCGATTGGAACATTGCTGCATGGGAACGGTTAATTGGTCTTGAAGATATTGGGGGAAGTCTGCCTTAAGGACAAGGTAGCAGATGTTTTGGAGGGACCTTGCTTCAGGCCCCTCAATGAATCCTTTTTCTTTCTTTTGTGGGATTTCAATTGTTTGTCTTATTATTTGTATTACAGGAGAATGACAGACTCAAATATGTACCACTGAAAATAAATATATAGGCTACTCAGACAGGGAAAGCAACAGCCGAAGCTCTCATTCTGTCTTTTCATGACCATGCATGTTGATGTCGGTACAATAACAATCTTAAAAAGAACTGCAGTTTAAAAAAAATCTTTGCGTTTGACTGCCACTGTTTACTTTGTTTTCTTTGAATACATTGGACAGACATTGTGTTACGTCTCTTATATGTTGTAGTTTTCAAAAGAATTGTGGAATAAATGTATACAAGCATACTAGGTCAACTTGGCCTTTGTACTGAGCCCACTGTTGGATGGCACATTACAAATAGTGTGTAATCAAGGTCACAAATGGGGCAAATACTTTAATCTGAGCATGACTCACAATTAAGGCAATACAGAAAATGTTGTTAGATTTTTATGGCACAGTGGGGCACATTTTGGCCCCAGTGTCCTGTCAAGCTACAGGGGTCAATCTGTCACTCGCCCAGGTGTGTTTATTCTGGGCACAATTTTCTTCACAGCCTCTTCATCAGATACCAGTTCGCCTCAGGTTGTCCGTAACAGCAGCTCATGTTCCAGAAAACATTGCTCTCAGGGTCACCGAGGCGCACG